TCGCGGGAATCATCAGAAAAAACACCGAAAACCACCCGAATGTTTTTCCTAACCATCCTGTGGTGTTGGGTCTTCTTTCTGAAGAGACAGCGCCCCGCGTTCGTTTCTCTTCTCCTCCCCCTCCTCCCTCCCATCCCTGCCTCTGCTCCCCGCATGCCCATCCCATTCGGTACATCCCGCACACGTTTCGTGACCTCGTAGGGAGCTCCGCCGAAGGCTCCATTGGCAGGGTATGCATGCCACCGCCGCTTCCATGCCGGCACACCCCTCACACGGTTCGTGGCCCCCATAGGGAGCTCCGCCGAAGGCCTCAGTGGCAGGGCTTGCGTGGCACAGCCGCCTCCATTTTGGCACACCCCTCATACGCTTCGTGGCCCACATAGGGAGCTCCGCCGAAGGCCTCAGTGGCAGGGTTTGCGTGGCACCGCCGCCTCCATTTCGGCACACCCCTCACACGTTTCGTGGCCCACGTGGGAGCTCCGCCCAAGGCCTCAGTGGCAGGGTTCGCATGGCACCGCCGCCTCCATTTCGGCACACCCCTCGCCTGCTGGCCCCACGGGGAGTTCAGCCGAAGTCAGTGGCAGGGCTCGCATGGCACCGCCGCTTCCATTTTCGGCACACCCCTCTCACGCGTCGTGGCCCCACATGGAGCTCCGCCGAAGGCAGGGTTTGCATGGCACCGCCGCCTCCATTTCGACACACCCCTCACACGCTTCGTGGTCCCTTTGGGAGCTCCTCCGAAGGCCTCATTGCCAGGGTTTCCATGGCACCGCCGCCTCCATTTCGGCGCACCCCTCACACGCTTCGTAACCCCATAGGGAGCTTCGCCGAAGGCCACAGAAGCAGGGTTTGCATGGCACCGCTGCCTCAATTTCGGCACACCCCTTACACGCTGCGTGGCATCGTAGGCAGCTCCGCAAAAGGTCCCAGCGTCAGGGTTCACATGGCACCGCCAACTCCATTTCGGCACATCCCTCGCACGTTTCGTGACCCCATACGATTTCGACACGCCCCTCACACGCTTCGTGGCCCCAAAGGGAGCTCCACCAAAGGCCCCGGCGTCAGGGTTCGCATGGCACCGCCGTCTTCATTTGAGCACACTCTTCACACGCTTCGTGGCCCCAGAGGGAGCTCCGCCGAAGGCCCCAGTGGTAGGGTTCGCATGGCACCGCCGCCTCCATTTTCGGCACGCCACTCACGCGTTTCGTGGCCCCGGAGGGAGCTCCGCGAAAAGCGGTGCCCACAACGAAGTACCAGCAGCTGTACATGGTTTCGGTCCTTCACCAGGATATTTGTGTTTGTTGAGTTGTTTCTAAAGTTTGTTTGGTTTTGTTTTTTTCTTTGGGGGGGGTCAACAATAGTTTTGTTTGTAAGTGTGGGCCCCATCGCCCCCCCCAAACGCCCCAAGCTTCCCCTCGCCCTGGGGATCCGGGGGGAATCCACCGACAAAAAAACTCATTGAGGGGGGGGGGGCGAGAGTTTTGCAGGGGGGTCCCGGGGCGTTCCAGGGAACTCCACACCGGTTTCGGTTGCCCCGTCTCCCAGATGTTTTGGCAGAGTTTTTGGTTGCAGGCTTTGGAGGGCGACCCTCGGGCCAGTCCCCACGTTGAGCCCGAAGTGTATCCAGCGCAAGTAGCGCGCTGCTTGCGGCACTCCCCTCCCGGGTCCTCGGCTCTCGTCGTCCTTTGTTGCCCTGTGGCGCTCTTGAGCGCGGTGCGTCGAGTTCGCTTCTGCAGGCGTGCTGGTTCGTGGGCCTCCCGTCCTCGTCGTGCGTTGTCGTTCGTCTCTCTTGCCTCTTCCAGCTTCGGTCTCTTCTTGTTCCTCAGTCGCTGTCGTGGTGGCTTCCTCTTTCCAGCTGCTTCTTTCGACTCTGCACTCTCTCACCGCTGGCGGTACAGCCAACACGAATAGTTCAATATGAGCGATTTCTGGAGGTTTTAACAGCATATTCTCCCTTTCGGCCAATCCTTGGCTACTTTCGCTGGCCGCGCCCCGCTCGAAAAGTGCCGACATGGCCTTCCAAGGCCCTTGTAGATTTCGACCGTGCATCCTTATGATACGCGTTGTCTGTTCTTTGGCCATCCGCACCGCTAGTCCTGTCAGGTCAGTTCACGTTGCATCGAATGGATACGTACATTTTCTGCATGTTCCCGTTCTTCTGGTGTTCCTAGCGTGTCTTGCATCGCTGGCCTCAGCTTTCCCCTAGTCCGGGAGATTTCGGCCTCGGCTTGAGCGCGATCGCCGCATGTGCGATTGCAATGTCCGGTGACGAGCCTCTTTCAGTTTACGACAATGGATGATCCTGCACTGCGGAGGACGCACACATTTTCAACAGTGCAGAACCAGCACCGCCCCTGACCCGGGAGACCACGCCCTCGGTTGAAGCGCGATCGGCTCAATGGCGATAACAGTTTGAGTGGACGCGCACCGTCGCTCGAGAACCAGACGGTGCCTCGTCGCTAGGCCGCCTCAGCGAGCCTCACCTTCCTGCACGGCGTGCTGGCCTTCCGCGCCTCCGCCCTCTCGCTGGCCCTGGGCAGCCGCGCGGTGAGCGGTCGAGTCACAGGGCCGGCGGCGCCCCGCCAGCCCGCGGCGTCGCGCCCCGTTGCCCGCCCCGTTTGCATCGTCTCGAGGAGCTTCGATATTGATCAGAGCCCCGAATTATCAGGGGTAACTCGGTTCAGAGCTTACTGGGGTTCGTTTCCGGGATTCCGAACCCGAGTTATTCCAGACCCGAGTTACCTCGGATATTTCGGGCGTCCAGAGCCCCGAATCATCAGGGGTATTTCGGGTCAGGGCTAACTCGGGTTGGTTTTTGGGAACCCAAACCGGAGTTACCCCGGACCCGAGTTACCCTGGATAACTCGGGCGTCCAAATTGAGACGGGCCGTCACGCGCTCGTGGCCACCAGCACCCCACAAGGGTTCACATGCAGACGGCGCTGCAGCCAGGCCTCCGCCACAGAGGTGTTCCCTGCGGGTGACATCTCGGTTTTTCCCGGAAAGGGCATCGGCCCAGGGTTCTCTTTTAGTAGGTAAACCTGTCCCCCGGTGCCTGCTTGAGGGAGGCCGGCGAATTTTTTCCCTGATAAATAACGAGGTCGAAGGAGGCCGGCGAATTAAAATTTGAGGATGTCTCGAGCGAAACGCTTGTTTTCCCGGAAAGGGCATCGGCCCAGGGTTCTCTTTTAGTAGGTAAACCTGTCCCCCGGTGCCAACTTGAGGGAGGCCGGCGAATTTTTTCCCTGATAAATAACGAGGTCGAAGGAGGCCGGCGAATTAAAATTTGAGGATGTCTCGAGCGAAACGCTTGTTTTTCAGAATTTCTTGAGGATGTCTCGAGCGAAACGCTGTTTTGCAGAGTTGAGGATGTCTCGAGCGAAACGCTTGTTTTCAGAATTTGCTGAGGATGTCTCGAGCGAAACGCTTGTTTTGCAGAGCCGACCGCGACGCGGAAAAGCGCCCCGCGCGAAGGAATTTCGATGATGTCTCGACTAATTCGTTTGTTTTTGTACGATTTCCTGGAATTTTGGCAGGATGTCTCGAGCGAAATGCACGACCCCACCCTAGCACGACCATACCCCAGCACGACCACACCCCAGCACGACCAGACCCCAGCACGACCCCACCCCAGCACGACCCCACCCCAGCACGACCATACCCCAGCACGACCACACCCCAGCACGACCCGACCCCAGCACGACCCTACCCCAGCAAGACCACACCCCAGCACGACCACACCCCAGCACGACCTCACCACAGCACGACCACACCCCAGCACGACCACGCCCCAGCACGACCACGCCCCAGCACGACCACGCCCCAGCACGACCACCCCCCAGCACGACCACCCCCCCAGCACGACCAAGCACGACCACACCCCAGCACGACCACACCCCAGCACGACCACTCCCCAGCACGACCACACCCCAGCACGACCACACCCCAGCACGACCACACCCCAGCACGACCACACCCCAGCACGACCACACCCCAGCACGACCCGATCGATAAATCACAGGGTGCGGAGCACCCCAGCACGAACCCACCCCAGCACGACCCCACCCCAGCACGACCCCACCCCAGCACGACCACGCCCCAGCATGACCACACCCCAGCACGACCACACCCCAGCACGACCACTCCCCAGCACGACCCCACCCCAGCACGACCCCACCCTAGCACGACCACACCCCAGCACGACCACACCCCAGCACGACCCCACCCCAGCACGATCACACCCCAGCACGACCCCACCCCAGCAAGACCACACCCCAGCACGACCACACCCCAGCACGACCTTACCACAGCACGACCACACCCCAGCACGACCACGCCCCAGCACGACCACGCCCCAGCACGACCACGCCCCAGCACGACCACGCCCCAGCACGACCACGCCCCAGCACGACCACCACCCCCCCAGCACGACCACCCCCCAGCACGACCACCCCCCAGCACGACCACACCCCAGCACGACCACTCCCCAGCACGACCACACCGCCTTGGTTGAGTGGTTGCCTGTCGTCGTGGAATGTTTCGTGGGGTGTCTCGTGGAATGTTTCGCGGGGTGTCTCGTGAAATGTTTCGTGAGGTGTCTCGTGGAATGTTTCGTGAGGTGTCTCGTGGGCTGTTTCGTGAGGTGTCTCGTGGGATGTTTCGTGAGGTGTTGCCCAGTTGGGTATCATGAAAACGTGTCCATGCTCCACATGTCTATATCCCTTTCCGGGTTCGTGGGTCCATCATGTTCGACGTGGCGCCGAGCTTGGCTGGTCTTGCGCACAGTCGAGAGCCCGTGATGGGTCATTGTCGCCGTTGCTAATTAGCTGCGTCATGGCCCACCATTCAGGTTGGGATGGTTACACCGGTGGCTGGGAAAGGTTTCGCTATGCATCACGTACGTGCCCGTGGGAAGTGCCATCTTCTCTCTCCGCATTCCTATCCCATTGCTCGACCAGTCTCAGGCAGAGTTTTGCTTTACATAAAACAGACGGCCATCAGAAGAGCCTGCTCCGATGGGCATGTCCCTGAGGGACCTACACAAGGAGCCCGGATCGGGCAAGGGGACGCAGTGGGGGCGGATGTGGATGGGCATCGGGACTCGGGATGGACGTGGAGAGGCCGAGGATGGGATCGGCGTCACCCCAACATACTGCGCCCCCCTGGGGCGACGTGCGCATCGAGAAATCTTATAGTATATGCGTCGGGGCGGGCGCTTTCTGGCCACACCGCTCGGGAAACGATGTACTACAAGACGGATGTACGATATGTTCGGGTCGATCGCAAGCCTCCAAGGAGGTATATAGTAATAGTAGTCCCATGGGAGGGGGCAGAAGAGGAGGGAGGGGCAGCGAAAGAGGGGACGTGTACGTGGGCGTTGGGACTGGCGTGGGGGCCCCGCGAAGGGGAAGGAGGAGCTGTGGCGCAGGAGGGGCGTCGGACAGGGTGGCGTCGGAGAGGGAAGTGCGCGCCGAAACCAAACAAACGACATGCGAGGCAAGAGCGCCGCTCCCACGTGGCCACCTCATCCTTCCTGGCTGTTCCACGGCCAGATGGCGCGCAGGCGAGAACATGCGCCAACATCGAAGCAGGCTTGCTGCCGCCTGCGGCCCCCCTGGCACCCGGGAAGGGCAGACGCAGCGAACACCCGGGTGGCCGGCGCTGAACCGAGAGCGGAATTCCGAATATCAGGTTTATCTTCAATGCAATTTCTAGAGGTTCCAAACCCGAGCGTTGTCAGGGAAAAAGGCATAGCAGGATAGCATGACTCATAATGATAAGTTGTGCAGGCCGGGGGCTGCTTCTTCTTCTTCCTCTCCTCCTTCATCCTCTGTCTTCCTCCCCATGGTCCCCATCCACCTCATATAATTGCCTGTCTCCTCTCCCTTCCTCCCTGGACCTCCTCAAACCACGTTCGGCTCGCACGCGGAATCCGAAGTTCAAGCTCTAGCAGCGAAGCTACAACGCAAGAGCATGCTCTGCAGAAAAAAAACTGCAATGCAGAAAAAAGCAGCAATGCAACAGGAACACTGTTGTGCAATAAACAACTGTTTCCCTTTTGTCGTGGTCGACACGGCGCGCTTCGCACCCCCTTGTGGACCTCCCCAGAACAACAGGAATAGCAATGCGGAACAACAAGCAGCGTAAAGTGCAGTTCAGAAAATATGGTTGAACAAATTGCTGGAATGCAAAACATACTGCAATACAACAGCAAAATTGGACTGCTAAGAGACACCTTTTCCCCGGAAAGGGCATAGGCCCAGGGTTCTCTTTTAGTAGGTAAACCTAGTCCCCCGGTGCCTGCTTGAGGGAGGCCGGCGAATTTTTTCCCTGATAAATAACGAGGTCGAAGGAGGCCGGCGAATTAAAATTTGAGGATGTCTCGAGCGAAACGCTTGTTTTTCAGAATTTGTTGAGGATGTCTCGAGCGAAACGCTGGTTTTGCAGAGTTGAGGATGTCTCGAGCGAAACGCTTGTTTTCAGAATTTGCTGAGGATGTCTCGAGCGAAACGCTGTTTTGCAGAGCCGACCGCGACGCGGAAAAGCGCCCCGCGCGAAGGAATTTCGATGATGTCTCGACTAATTCCTTTGTTTTTGTACGATTTCCTGGAATTTTGGCAGGATGTCTCGAGCGAAATGCACGACCCCACCCTAGCACGACCATACCCCAGCACGACCACACCCCAGCACGACCAGACCCCAGCACGACCCCACCCCAGCACGACCCCACCCCAGCACGACCATACCCCAGCACGACCACACCCCAGCACGACCCGACCCCAGCACGACCCTACCCCAGCAAGACCACACCCCAGCACGACCACACCCCAGCACGACCTCACCACAGCACGACCACACCCCAGCACGACCACGCCCCAGCACGACCACGCCCCAGCACGACCACGCCCCAGCACGACCACCCCCAGCACGACCACCCCCCCAGCACGACCACCCCCCAGCACGACCACCCCCCAGCACGACCACACCCCAGCACGACCACACCCCAGCACGACCACACCCCAGCACGACCACACCCCAGCACGACCACACCCCAGCACGACCCGATCGATAAATCACAGGGTGCGGAGCACCCCAGCACGAACCCACCCCAGCACGACCCCACCCCAGCACGACCCCACCCCAGCACGACCACGCCCCAGCATGACCACACCCCAGCACGACCACACCCCAGCACGACCACTCCCCAGCACGACCCCACCCCAGCACGACCCCACCCTAGCACGACCACACCCCAGCACGACCACACCCCAGCACGACCCCACCCCAGCACGATCACACCCCAGCACGACCCCACCCCAGCAAGACCACACCCCAGCACGACCGCACCCCAGCACGACCTTACCACAGCACGACCACACCCCAGCACGACCACGCCCCAGCACGACCACGCCCCAGCACGACCACGCCCCAGCACGACCACGCCCCAGCACGACCACCCCCCAGCACGACCACCCCCCCAGCACGACCACCCCCCAGCACGACCACCCCCCAGCACGACCACACCCCAGCACGACCACTCCCCAGCACGACCACACCGCCTTGGTTGAGTGGTTGCCTGTCGTCGTGGAATGTTTCGTGGGGTGTCTCGTGGAATGTTTCGCGGGGTGTCTCGTGAAATGTTTCGTGAGGTGTCTCGTGGAATGTTTCGTGAGGTGTCTCGTGGGCTGTTTCGTGAGGTGTCTCGTGGGATGTTTCGTGAGGTGTTGCCCAGTTGGGTATCATGAAAACGTGTCCATGCTCCACATGTCTATATCCCTTTCCGGGTTCGTGGGTCCATCATGTTCTCTGTCGTCGTCGTCGCCGTGGGTGACACGGCGTGCATCGCACCTCCCTGGACCCCCCCAAACCACATTGGGTTCGCACGCGGACTCCAAAGCTCAAGCTCCAGCGGCGAAGCTACAGCGCAAAAACCAACTATGCAGAAACACTTGCAGTGCAAAACAAAACTGCAAGGCAGAAGAAACTGGCATACAGCACAGCCGCTTCCCTGCTGTCGTGGTCGACACGCCGCGCCTCGCACCTCCCTGGCCCTCCCCAAGCCACGTTCGGCTCGCCCGCGGAATCCGAAGCTCAAGCTCCAGCAGCGAAGCCACAGCGCAAGAACGTGAGATGCAGATCACATCTAAGCCGAAGCTCAAGCGAAAGCTGGCTCGAGCTTGAAGTCTGCAGCCTCGAGCTTGCTCTTTGGAAGCTTGGCGTCCCGCCGAACTTCACTTCTCGCTCCTTCGCCCCTGCCGTCCTGATCCATGGTCTCCTCCCCTCGTTTTCCGCCGCTCCCCCCCCCCCTTCCTCGGCGAGGGGCAGCGAAGAGTGCCCTCCGCCCGCAGGAACTTTGGAACGAGGCCCCTTCGCGAGCCCCGCCGTGGCTGCCTACGCCGATGTCAGGCACCTGTTGGATGATCGAAGACGCCTACGGCGAATCACCGCCGCACCCCCTTCCTTTTCCCGGAAAGGGCACGGGCCCAGGGTTCTCTTTTAGTAGGTAAACCTGTCCCCCGGTGCCAACTTGAAGGAGGCCGGCGAATTTTTTCCCTGATAAATAACGAGGTCGAAGGAGGCCGGCGAATTAAAATTTGAGGATGTCTCGAGCGAAACGCTTGTTTTTGAAATCCCGATCGATAAATCACAGGGTGCGGGCCACTTTTTCGTGTGTTGAGGATGTCTCGAGCGAAACGCTTGCTCCGCAGAGTTTGCCGAGGATGTCTCGAGCGAAACGCTTGTTTTGCAGAGCCGACCGCGACGCGGAAAAGCGCCCCGCGCGAAGGAATTTCGATGATGTCTCGACTAATTCCTTTGTTTTTGTACGATTTCCTGGAATTTTGGCAGGATGTCTCGAGCGAAATGCACGACCCCACCCTAGCACGACCATACCCCAGCACGACCACACCCCAGCACGACCAGACCCCAGCACGACCCCACCCCAGCACGACCCCACCCCAGCACGACCATACCCCAGCACGACCACACCCCAGCACGACCCGACCCCAGCACGACCCTACCCCAGCAAGACCACACCCCAGCACGACCACACCCCAGCACGACCTCACCACAGCACGACCACACCCCAGCACGACCACGCCCCAGCACGACCACGCCCCAGCACGACCACGCCCCAGCACGACCACCCCCAGCACGACCACCCCCACGACCACCCCCCAGCACGACCACCCCCCAGCACGACCACACCCCAGCACGACCACCCCCAGCACGACCATACCCCAGCACGACCACCCCCCAGCACGACCACACCCCAGCACGACCACACCCCAGCACGACCACGCCCCAGCACGACCACACCCCAGCACGACCACACCCCAGCACGACCACACCCCAGCACGACCACACCCCAACACGACCACACCCCACCACGATCACACCCCACCACGACCACACCCCAGCACGACCCGATCGATGAATCACAGGGTGCGGACCACCCCAGCACGACCACACCCCAGCACGACCACCCCAGCACGACCACCACCCCAGCACGACCCACCCCAGCACGACCACCCCCAGCACGACCACCCCAGCACGACCACACCCCAGCACGACCACACCCAGCACGACCACACCCCAGCACGACCACACCCCAGCACGACCACACCCCAGCACGACCACACCCCAGCACGACCACACCCCAGCACGACCACACCCCAGCACGACCCCACCCCAGCACGACCCCACCCCAGCACGACCCCACCCTAGCAAGACCACACCCCAGCACGACCACACCCCAGCACGACCTCACCACAGCACGACCACACCCCAGCACGACCACGCCCCAGCACGACCACGCCCCAGCACGACCACGCCCCAGCACAACCACCCCCCAGCACGACCACCCCCCCAGCACGACCACCCCCCAGCACGACCCCCCCAGCACGACCACACCCCAGCACGACCACTCCCCAGCACGACCACACCGCCTTGGTTGAGTGGTTGCCTGTCGTCGTGGAATGTTTCGTGGGGTGTCTCGTGGAATGTTTCGCGGGGTGTCTCGTGGAATGTTTCGTGAGGTGTCTCGCG